CCTGCAGTTAATGAAAGACATTTTCTAAAATCAAGTTTGCAGATTGTGAACAAAGTGCATTGATGAGAAAGTCAAACTTTTATGGATCTTGATTCCTTGTCATTTTGCAAAACTTGTTCCTTGCTATAGGAAGTACAGAGTTCTTTCTTACTACAGGAAGGCTAGGATAAGGACACAATACACCTGTATCAATACACATATGCACATGAACACTAAGAGATTTATTTGGTTCTCTAAAGCATCTTCCTCGGTAAGCTGCATAGATTTGATATCAAGTGTTTAGACACAGACCATTTGTACAATTTAACCTTCAGTATTTATACAACTCTGAAGGGAATATGGTGTATTTTAATGTCCCACAGCAGTACATAAAAGGAATAAAAAATGCAAACAGTGGCAGACGAGCTTTCAAGAAAAAATAAAAGTAGACCCTGTTCTTATGTTACTGCATAATGGTGTGTAAAATGTACTCCAATTTTTTGGTCACAGGACAGAGAGTGCAGCATGAAAGCAAGAATATTAATCACATAAATTTTGCCTATCACTTGCCTTGAAACCTTCATATGTCAAGCAGAAGTTTAATGCTCTCCCTAGTGATTTTTTTCTCTTCTTTCTTTTTGAAACAAAGCACTTTTCATAGCAGAATACCTTGATTACCTACTCCTGTGGAAAAAGAAAAAAAAAAAAAAAAGCCTGAAGGCATGTTTAGTTAAACTAATGCATTGGATTCATTTCTTGGCTTAAGAGTTTTCTCATCTCCTCTTCCTTCTTCAGTAGCTTCTCTTAAAACTACTATAGCACAGGGTGCAGTCTAAAAATACATAAGTCAATCCATTAGTTTCTTTGCCACACCAAGGACATCTTTTATAAAATAAATAACTATGACTGGATAAGAAATGATGCTGTTTTTTATAAAATACTTTATTTCACCCTTTGTAATGTTTTCTGAAGCTAGCTAATAGCTGTAATTCATTCCTTTAAGCAGTTGGATTCTTTTTCAGCTTGAAAACAGTGCATTTGTAGAAACACTCCTAAACTTCTGAGGATCTTCAGCTAGCTTTTTAAAAGTTTTTTTGAAATGATCTAGGAACCCATCTTTTGCCACTTTAGAAAATGCTGGTTTACAGAGTAAGTACTTCGCTGTTTCTGAAAGTTCTTTTAAGTTGTCAAGTTAACCATGTAGAAGGACAGTCATTTCTAAGATTATAGGTCAATATTAAATAAATACACTAGATGTTTTCAAAAGGAGACACAGTTTATTCCTTAGAATAGCTAACATCAGACTTTTAAGTCACTTGTTGAAAAGGCACCAACATTAGGTTCCTACTTAATACTATATGAAAATCCAGTACTCAAGCTAAGACGAACCGCAACTCACAACCTACAATGTGACTGCTACTGCATGAGGACTTTTTGACATAAGTATCGGGACTGAGACTTAATTCGTGCAAGGAGAAAGAAACAGCTTCCATAGAAACACTCCCTGGCTGCATGCCCACAGCTGGACAGGAGAGCCAGGAGGATGCTCTGATGTTCACATACCCATCAGGGAGCCGGGGAAGTGACTGAGTTCCACACATGGGCACTGACTTGAAGTGAGATTTTATCAATCACAGTGTAAGCAGCAGGCAGCAGACACCTAAAAAGCACCAGTAACAATTGTGAAGTTCTGCCTAGGTTAGCATGCCCTGCTCCTCTGAAGAAGGGCTGAAGTGAGGCAGGCACACTGCCTCTGGCACTCAGCTGCCTTAAGTACTGCTCCACAGATCCCACAGGGTGCAGATCACCCTGCAGCCTGTGTGGGAAGTGGGAACAAAACCACTATTCCACCTCCAAGGGACATTTTGAAGATAAACGTGCTGAGAGGCACTCAGGTACAGCTTCAAGTTCCTTGCTCCATCCCCTGACCAACAGGCACAGGGCGCACACACACACCCCAAGGAAGCAACAACTTGCTGCAGCTACTCCCTCCTTTTTCACATGGACAGCAGAGGCACAAGGTGAGAGTGACTTCGCTCACTTCCTCATGGGCTGAATTACAAACCTTTCTGCCCTTTGCTAAGGATTCGATTGCACAGTTGCCATCAGCCCCTGAATGTGACTGCATAGAGGCTTTCTGTCCAGGTATTATTAACCATACACAGCTGAAATTGAAAGCCCTTCACACAGAAAATTCAAAGTACGAAATTCTTTATTCATTTCAAAGCTTGTTTGAATTACAACTTCTTTAAATAGAAAGTAGGCTTCTAATCAGGTCGCAATGAAATTTTCATTTCCTGGAATCCTATCATTTAGGAGACAAAAATCTCTTTTTATTACGTATGTCACATACACTGCCTTATTTTCTGCGTACCTCAGCCTGGGTCAACTAATTTAGTCAGCACTTACATAAAAGTCAGCCGCAGTTCAGGTCTCAGTCCTACCCTGAAAGCCAGACGATGCCCATGTTATCAGGAACGCATGACCAGGGGGACAATGTGAAATCATGACTGGGTCACTGGGGAAGGAAAGGAAGGAATTAAGGAGGAAAATATATTCAAGGCAGAGATCTAGAATTTAAAGAATCAATTCTCTGTTGTTTTGGCCTTACACGCTCTTTGATGTAAAGATCTTTTATAAAGCAGGTGGTGGAGGTCGTCACAAACAGCTAAACATTTTGACGGTGCAATTTTTCTTTTAAAATGTAAGGCTAGCCAGTGCTTGCACATACGTTCTGTATGAGCTGGAAAACAAAAGCATGCTTTTACAGTTGAGAGCAGCCAATTTTCTCAGTCTGAAGGGGACTATTATGCCTCCATGTTATATCTCCTCAAGACCCTGAGTCATTCTTGAGGCACATGTTTTCAAAGTAGGGCACGCAAAATAACATGGCTCTAACCAGTTGGAGAAAAGATTCTGGGAGGCTTAAAATAGACTCTTCAGTCATAGAAGTGAAACGAGGACAGGTATTAAATAAACAATGCACAGAAGGCATGAGCATACAGGCCATGTTAAAGATGACACAAGGAGGACAGAAAGAAAACAATTCTGCAAAACTTCTGAAGAAACTTGGAACATTAAAAGACTTAATCACAGTACTTTAATCTTAATATTTTTAATCACCTCCAAGTGCTTCACAAAGGTGAGGCCTGTGACTTTGGGGGCATAAATGGAATTATTGATTATAGAAGTTTTGCTCTGTTTTGGCACCTGGGTTATGAATATGTTGTGTTTTACAGCTGAGAGGGGAACATCTGCCTGCAGATGTCAAGAGGCTATGAGTTACACTTCCTGCATCCTCTTCAGGTGAAACACAAAAGTCATTTCCATGTTTGAAGGGGCTGGGTTAGAGTATTTGAAGAGTGTTCCTGTGAAAGACCTTAGCAATCTCAGAAATCCAAAACACAACAAAATCCATGTGTTGCAGGACAGCAATCCATTTCCCATCATCAGACACTTCCAATACTAATACTTGGATGGCTGATGTACCCTGTTGGCATCCTAACCCATGGATGTTATAGAAAACTACCAAATTTAAGTAACAATGATTCCATATTATTATTATTTTTAAGAGATAGAACAAAAATGTCTTTTAAATAAACCAGACATAACTATTTTTTGGTTGTTCGCAAAGAATTTCCAGCTCTCTGCTACAGTTAATAAGACGAAAAAACAAAGAAAAGACATGATGTCTTGTACTTCATAGGTACAGGTTTCAACTCCTAGTTCTGCTGCAGATCCAGCACATGACTTCAACCAAGTCGTTTAATTCCCCTCTTCTTCAAATTTCTATTTGATCAAAGGGAATAACAGCTTTGCTGTCTCCATCTTATTTGTCTTCTAGGTTGAAAATGCGATGGACCCCTAAACTGCTGGGGGCTCTGTCATGTTAAAAGCATTGAAATAATGTCTACTACTGAAGAATACTAGGAGTAAAAATATTTACACATTCCCCTGCCATCATGCACAGCTGCAGTTGAGAGATTTGTCTCCAACACTGCAACAGTTGATAGCCAAAAAGCTTTCTTTTAGCATGAGTCCCAGATTGTTAATTTCTCCAGCAGGATATCAGATCATCCACGTGTAGTTCAGCCATAAGGTCCAACACCACAAGATACTGGAATAAGAGGACATTGGCAGTAGCAAGACATTCAGAACCTCACAAAAGAACGTTCAGAGCGTGGCAAGCAAGGCTTTTGCAGAATGAAGCAGAGCTGTACGCTGGTTTTGTATTTAGCAATATGACAGATAATACCCATGAGGAGCATATTTCAGTTTCCTTGTAATCAAGCTGAACAACAGCACTTAACTTAATTCATGCAACTGCCATACCCTGATAGGAGATGTCACAACAATATGAAAATGGAAAATCTGATTGCTGAAAAGAACAGTTAGCAATAACTTTCTAAAAATAATACCACTTTTTTAATTGTGCTCTCATTTAGAAAAAGCTAATAGAGATATAATAAATTAGTCTTCAACATCCTCCCTATCCTAGGGAGGTCTACAAATTAGCTGTCTAATCCTGAAGAAGTATATTTTCAGGTTAGGAGCTGACACTACAGGTCTGTCTACCAGACTGGTGAAGCCAAACAGATGACCTGGATCACTCAGAAGAGTCCGAACTTAACCAGGAAATTTTTTTCTGTATGTCTGCAGCACTTTTGCTGTCAGTTTAAAACTACAATTCAGTTTATTTTCACGCATTCCCCATTAAGCAAGCGTTATCCAAGAATTAAGGAAGGTTCACTCTCCCCAGAGAAGTCACTTTTCAATCCTGAAATGTGCCTTCTGAGGCAGAGTTTGAGGACTTCCCAGAGACCACTCATAGGCACAGGAAGAAAAGGGAGCTGAATACCACAGTCCCATATTGGCACTGACTGTTCCTGTTCTTAGTGATTAGGGTGTTTAAACCCCTGGTTGATCTCAGGCCTTAGTCACTGATTTTCATAATTAATCTTTCATTAAAGATCATAATTTGCGTACAAATTGCCTATGTGTAAAGCAAGATCACACAGAAATGAAAGGCAGCATTTTATTCCATGCAGTTACTCACATGGAAGGCAACAGACAACAAATATTATCAGTCAAATGTAATTGGGATAATCTCACTTAGCTCAGCAGTGTGTCAAAACATCCCTTTGACAAAACAAGAGCCCAAAGAAACAAACCAATTTACAACCAGGAATAAAAAAGATTAATCACTCTAAGACAGAGGAAGAGCTAGGTAGGCAAACATTGTACAGTCATCATAAAACATGTATAATAATGCCATGAAATAGAAAATGACTAAATTTATTATCTTTTTCTACAAATTCTTCTGCTTGTTGAAAACAGAGTTCCCATTATACTGCATGCAAGAGAAAGCAGAGAAAATTGGTTTTAAAAGGTTCCCCACAAGCACTAATTTCTACAGCAGCAGACATACAGATTTACCTTCTGCAAGCCTTACCTTGCTGGCTTCTGATAATTAGCGTAAGCTGATTTTCTCTCTCCCTGGCCACAAAGCTTTTGGTTATTTGTATAAATAGGAGCATTTTCAATCCTGCACCCACTTGACAGCGGTTTAGGTAGCTAACTGTGTATATCAGAAAAAAGAAATAAGTACTGTGGTACACAGTCCAGTCTCCAACACAATTTACATAGAGAAACCCAGAACTTATGTCAGGTACCACGCAGTATCTTCTATTAGCATCTATTAAATATCTCAAATACATCCCATCTAGTGTCTTCTCCATTTCCAGTGGATAAATACAGCTTGAAACCATAGGCTGTGCTTTTACTTCTCTCCACCTTTCTGCCGATGCTCAGAGAGTTGAAATAAGGCTTGGTTCACAGTTTTGAAGGCATGTGTACTCCCCTTGCATCTTCTGTTTTCTATCCCCAGGTTAGCCAAGCCTCACTGGTTTCCATTTGTCCAGGATCTTGGGAGTAAGGTGGTGCCCTAATGGATTGAAGAGAAGAGGAAGGATGGGAGCCTTCGAGTCATTCTATGACAGAGCAAGATGAAAACTGGGAATATTTTAGAAGCTTTACTCACAGTTTCCCTGTGTTTCTTGTCAAAATGCTGAGAAAACAATCATGTTTTCTGCAATAAATGGCATTCAGTGACAAACAATTGGAACCTGGAAAAACACTGACAGCCAACTTTGAAAATATGGTTTTTGAGTAGAAAGCAAGCTATGCTTGATTACATCAGCTACATAATAACATTTGTACCTATCCTAGAGTTTTTCCTACACAAACTAACCATCTGAATCAACTTGTACAGACCTTCAAGCCATTGTCATCCATCCATAAAGGCTGCAACTCCAAGGGGCTTTGTTAAATATAATTTAATTGTACTGCACATTAGCCCCACCTGTCCACCTGGTCCTGCCTTAGACACATCAGATAAGATTGCCATATTTATCAACAATTATTCATTAACTAACTTGGAACAAAATATGGCTCACTAGAAAAAAATAAAATGGCATTTTTTGTGTGTATAAATATGTGTGTATATATATAAAAATAAAAACAATTTGAAAATGTTTTTACTTACCTGAACAAAAATCACTACAACAAAGTTTTCAAAAATTCACACCATCAGAAAACATTTTAGTTTAATTATACAGAAATTAGCACAGGAAGCATTGAAATCCTTGGCTTTCTCTTGGGGCTATACAAGAGTCTAGAAGCTGGAGAAATAGTTCCTGTATCTATCAAAGGACTTGGATTAATCAACTCATTTTTCTGTGCCTAAAATTATTCTGTGGTACTTGCATCTTTATTATCCAAAGTCCACAGATAAAACACAGTGCAAGGATTAAATATTATTAGCAGAAATGAAGAAATTGCGCACAGCTTCCACTCTCCCTCTTCTCCTTTTCTTCAGAAGCAGTTAGGGTTTTTTTTTCACCTGGTGTTTATCAGAAATTACTATTAGCAGACACGCTTCTCTCAAGCCATAATTCTTCGGTTCAATACTGTGCACTTGAAACTCCCATTCAAGTCACTGGGAGTTTGGAGACAGCAAGTGTTATGACCTTTATTATTGTCTGTCAGCATGCCAGAAATACTAGTCCCTATCACTGACATTGAAAAAATAACTCCATTACCTAGGAGCAACAGAGGGATCTCATTCTTTTTTAGGCTCAAGTTCTAGGAAGAGATACCAGCATTTATTCAGTACGTTTTGAGAATCATAGGAGAAAATGACTTATGTATATATATTGTTCATGTAATACCTCAAACTTTTCATTAAAATAACGATCTTATGATGCCAGGTGTTAAATGGCAAATTTCAAATATACTACCTGAATACTGTGGCCAAGATGTGGACTCATTTATTTGGATAAGCCTCTCTCCCTAGAGCAAGCACTGGTGTGTGATGCAATTAGAACAGGCAATACCTGATATTAATCCCCCAACGTGTTCTACTCTTCCTATGCAATTCTGTTTCACAGAAAGAAATCCCTCCCAGCTCCTTGAAGTGCTACCAATCAGAGGTGAAACCCAGGAAAGATGACTGTATCGACCCAAATATAAATTGATGCTTACCAAATTCTGCCTCCTAAACGCATGTACACATGCTTCCAAATGAATGTTACAGCTTCAATTGCATTTACTGCAGCTCATAAAATCCAAGATGTATCCATTCTGAAATATTATTTTAATGCTATTAAAAAAAATCATCACATTTTATTCTGTCACAGGGCAAATTACCAGTGAATGAATGATTTTTGGACTAAGACATCTAGCTTATACTTGTGTTTGAACTGACATCCTCATACCACACTGTACAAACTCTAAATAACCACCAAACTTCATCAGCTTCCCCAAGGATATTTAAAATTCTCACTTTAAAACTGTTAAGATTTCTAATATTCTGTGCATTGCCACTTTTACAGCTCCATGGAACTATTATTATTTTGAAATATTAATAAAAAAATATTAACACTTTCCTGTTTTTCTTCAAAGGCGTTTCTTGCCTCACAGATTATGGCTTTGGTTTTTCTTCTCTAGTATACGGTTAATATCCAAGCAACGTGGAAAGAAATCCATCAATATGACTGGAGGCCTCCGAGGTTTGGTAAGAGGATATTGAACCTCTCACCCAGAGGTCATTGTTCCAGTGTGCCCTTCGCTGGTTGCAACAGAAATCCATTACCATTGAGGGCTCTTCAGTGGTCTGCAAACATGGCTCTTTAAAATTCAACTTCTTGTGCAGACAGAGGAAATTTGTCCGAACAGGACCAAATATCCATAACAAAAGTACTGCATTCTTCTTGCTGACAAGTAAAACACATACTCAGAAATAAAATTTAGAAGTTCTTTTATTTCTGCCCTTGTCTGTAGCCCAGAAAAAATAGCAGTGCTCAGTAGCTAGAAGTCTCCCTTAGCACTTCTGGGGGAAAACAGAAGAGAGTGGAAATTGCTGCTGAGGTATCTTCCTGCCTACAGAGAGAGTCCCAGCCCAACAGGGTGAGATGAAGTGGCAGAACTACTCTCAGTTAAGCTCAGCCTGCTCCATGAATAAACAGAATTTCAGTCTCTATGGCTGTCAGCCCAAGACTTCTCATAAGCCCTTAATTCTTGTATAAAGTACAAACAGACTTACTTTACATGAGAAGTGCAGGAAATAAGTGATGATTACAATGCCATTGACTTCGGAGGATGAAGATTAGGGCCATCATAAACTGCTGATATCCAGGTTCCAGAGACACAGATCAGCCTTGACAAGATGTCTTGCGCTCATTAAAGCTCCATTAATGAAATTCCAAGAACTTGCCTAATGGAACTGCACAGATGTCACTGTTTTCTTATTATCTCCTCCCATGCGAGGATCATAATCCCAGAAGTCTTCCCTGGTGCTTTATTAACTATCTTGAGTCAACTATGTGATGGAATTTGAGAATTGTTTGTATTCCAACTTCCTGAATCATTCTCACTTTTGCTGTCTGTCAGATGTCTCTGTTGCTACCTGGAAGCAACATAAGTCTATAGGAGCTGAGAATTTCCCTTCCCTCAGGATTATGTCCTGTAGCTGCATCTCAGAGAAATAAAGCTCCCTAATTGTGTATACTGTTTATTTGAATAGATTTGCTCTGTGAAATGAAACGAGCATTGCAGAAATATCTTGAACACAGCTCTACAGACACTTGAAAGTTTGAATCAAGTTGCTGAGGCATTAAAACACTGAATAGCATATAACAAATCACTGGAATGGATGTTCCATTAATCCTGGAAATACTTAATTTTTGGCAGAAAACTTTTCAATACCCTCGAGGGTTTGTCTGTTCAAACTTCAGTGAAAACCTTCACTATAGTAACAGAATTCCAGGGGGAACCCATAACATTCTGCTTTTAAGAGCTAGGTAAGAGAGGAAAAATAAATCACAATAAATAAGAGAAAATATTTGAGTTAATTAAAATGCTACTATTTAATGTACTGATTTAAGTCAGATGGGTTTGCTTTTTTAAAATATACCCCTTATAGTTATAGGCTTAGAAATAATTAAGATCAGTTTGTGAGTTTTATTTAGAAGCAGATGCAACTGAATATGTAAATGATGAGAAAATCACTAGAACGAATGGCTCTCACCCTATAAGCAGTTCACAGTATATTAAAAGCTGGCTACTGCATTACAGTCCTCTCTACCTATTTCCTTCCTAATATACACAGAACTAGGTTGGACACAACATCCTTATACTAACAAAGAAACAATGTGATTTCTCCCTATTAACTAAATTCATGTTTTTAATCATATCATACATTTATTAAAATACAGAAGAAGCTCAAACTGCTTATCGTAAATATGAATATTTGTTAAACATGTTGAGCTAATAGCTACTATGTCAGTTATAGTATGAGGAGCAGCTTACGGGTCAGATCTTTGACTAAAGTAACTTTTTAATGAATGTGTTGGATTTTACATCATGGGAGAATCCGTCCGTCCCCTCTGTTCCCTGGGAGCCATTTCAATGCCACCTGCCCTTCTATCCCTGTCCTGGAAAGATTCATCATGTCATTCTTTCATGTATCACAAAAACCCACCATAACAATTTGCCATTCACTGATGGAGCATGTGTCATTTGAAAGGCTCTCAGGTTCTTTACAGAGCATGGTTTATGGAATCATTTTGCTCATGGGTAAAATACAGCCAGCTCTGGAAGGATATAGAGTGTATGTGTGTACATATATACACATATGTGTATATATGTGTGTACATATATACATATGTGTATATATGTACACACACATACATATATATAATAGCAGAGAACAGCTGCAAAGCACACTGAAATTTAAGAGATGAAGAGAATACTCCATATACATTTGGGTTTATGGAAGTAAATCATGCTAGGCTAAACTATTTCATTGATAGCAGTCCTATAAAAAAGTGTAATAATTGAAAACTAAAAAAAAAAAAAAACAAGCAAAAAGAAGTTGCTCTTAATCTGGCATCAGAGGATCCCCATGATGCTGTACTGGTTTACACAGTTTTATTTATCCTTTATCTAATACCAGAATAAGTTTCTGCTTTAGATGAGCCTTTAAAGTAACAAATACCTTAGGGAAAAGAGAGTCTTATTCTCCCATTGTGTTGTTCCCATTATATTGGGTCTTCATTCTTGGTTGGCAGCTTGATAATACCACAATAAAAATAGCACTTCAGGGCTGGGCTTTGTGATTCCTGTACAAAGAGAAGAAATTAATGGTTATCTTGTGTTTCAAGGTACCACCACTCTTCCAGCTGAACAGCTCAAGTTTTAATTGCATGGCACTCACAGTTGAGGCACAGAGCATAGAGCATATAAGCAACATTCAAAGCTGCCTACTCAATGGGAAGCCTGTGGTAAAGCCACAAATCAAATTTATTTCTCCCAAGTCATCGTTCAGTATTCAGTCATCTTCCCAGTCACTGTGCTACACTGCACAGTGAATATAACCCAGCACCTAAGAGCTGGTACATAGCAGGATATGGTGCTGGTGGGACACACCTGATATAAAGCCAAACCATCTGCCTTGCTTCCTACTCCAGTGTTTTTCTCTGCCAGACTCTCATGCAGACCTGAAGTTGCTTAAGTTATGAGATTTGACAAGTCTTGCCCAAGGTTGAATGGGTGTCTGTATTGATTCAGTTCTCCGACATCGTGGGTTTTTTCTGCAAGCAAATTTTATTTCATTGCCCGGATCGAACTTCTGCTTGGGACTTGGTACAGCATAACTGACTCTCAGAAACCAGAGCCCAACTCAGACCCTGCTGACTGGCAGCCAACCAAATGAGTGCTGCTTTGTACTGGAGGGCCAAGCTCCCGGGGTTTCATCAGAGGAAGAGCAGGCTTGGCAGGGGGCTCTCTGTTGGTTACCCTGCCTCCTACATCAGAAATATAAAAAGACGTTGCCAGAAAACCATCCAGCTTCTTCCAGTCTGCCAGCGTTTCCTTCTTAGGAACCACAGTATTATCTCATTTCAGACTAGCATGTTAACTCCGATCAGCCTGATTAAATTGATGCCTGAAATTGCAGGACCTGAACATCTTAATGGTGGATCCACCAATATTTCTCTACTGTGTTTTCCCAAAAGATACATATATGCAAAATAATAATAATAGTATCCCTCTCTCCCTATACAGACCTGACTGTGACATTTTTGTGGATACTGGCTCTCCACTGTCAGCTAAAATCCTACCATAGCAGTTGAAGGGGAAGCTCAAATGCTTTCCCTTTCCCTGAAGCCACTCACAACTCTCTGTATCCCATTTTGTCATCCCCGAGCAGAATACTCTCTAGGACACACAAAATTTTTACAGGGTACTATTTCCTCTGTCTGCCCCACAAGGCAGGTTTACAAAACTTTCTGAGCAGAGGCCCAGGCACCAACAGATCAGGGCATTATAGGTTTTTCCTCCTCACTAGATTCCTCCTAAGCCACCACACCAGCTGATAATCAGCCTGGGCTGTTGATATGCTCAGCACATTGTGCAAGATGAAGTGCAGCCTTTTCTACCACGCACACTTTGCAGAGCAGTCAGTCCTCTTTTAGTATGAGTCACTCCATTTGTTTAATGTCCAAACCAAAACCAAATTCAACTACCTTAATCATCAAATTTGTCACTTTATGACTGGCTGATCTTCTACCCAATCTGTCAGAATCTCCTTCGCAAATAACACAAAATATCTAGTCTGTATTTTGGGAAGAAAAAAAAAACACCACGCCCCCCCCCCCCCCATCCTAAAAAGCCACCAACTTTAAACCCCTCCATGAGCTACTGACATGTGAAGTTATTGTACTCTGAATGCAATGGACAGCCTTGCATTAAACCCAAAGGCTCTCTCATCATGTACAACAACCAAGGCAACTTCAAGGAAAACAAATAAATAAACTTTCCCAAAACCAAAGAAAATTCTTATTAGACTAGTTTTCTGAAAGTGTTGGCTACCAGTCCCATACATAAAAATATCTATTTCTTGTTCTTTGTGGGTGACTTTACTAAATTCACAGATTGCTTTGGAGGTGGTCCTGCATTGCTGGGTAAACATTCTCCGTGTGCAGGAACAGATTGCACAGAATTTTGGGAAGAGCACTTACCCTGAGCAGATTCAAAACAAGGGGTGACAGCACAGATGATTAATGTAATTGCCACCTTCCATCAACACTCATGCTAAGGGAGGAGCATGGTTAAATAAATGTGCAAGTGCCAAGAAAAACAGAATAAATGCACCCACTGGTGCCTAAAAGTTTCATTTATTAAATAAACAAGAAGGCAGCTTCTGCCTCATTTCCAAAGCAGTCTGCATAGGCAGCACTAAAACAGTACCTACCTGCAGGTAGTGCTGGGACCCACACAACAGCCAGACTCAGGCAGTAGGCAGGGTGGATCCATTTAAAACTGGAAATTAATTTGCCAGGTGAGAGCCCTCATCTGCAGCAAGTTGCTAATTCCCCAAGTGCCAGCCACAAAGACTTTGCAGCTGTTGAGCCTAATCTCAATTTAGTGAACAAATCTCTCCAGCGCTGTGTTGCAGATCTCTTCTTTTGGATTTGGCGGTGGTGCCAGGACTGCCTGAATCCACCATGTGGATATTGGCTGCCTGGCACATACACAGATGAGTTTCCTCAGAGGCATGCCAGAAACAAATGCATTGCTTCTCAGTCTACCACCTTTGGAAAAATTTGCCAGACTGACACAGAAAAATCCTTATTGTAAAAATCCCTATTATACTGAGCTTCCCCTGACTGAGCATCAGGAAGTACCCAGCTTTTTTTTTTTTTTTTTTTTTTTTTCTCAGCTTTTCAGAGTATTTTCTTTGTTGGGCACTTTGGTTAAATCCAGGGGTCTCAGAAACCTGAGTAGTTTTTTCCCCAGAAATTTCAGAAAAGCCTGAGGAGGTTAGATGTCCATATACGAACATAAAATTCTGCTTGGCTTACCTTGCTCCTTGAGAAACTACAGCCTATTATTTCTCTTGCTTTATAGATGCAGTCATACTTCTCAGAGGTTCCTGTAAACTTTCAGGCACTTAAAGTCAACAGCACCTCAAGGTCTCTTATTAGCTTCATGCTTTCTGATTCATTCTCTTCCATTCCTTGATGCTAAACTAATACGGGCTCCATCCAGTACTTGAGTAATTCGCTGATCTTTTGGTGCTGTGCACTCCTAACAGATTCTAAGTGCCAGAGTTTCAGCTTTTCTATCCTCATTCCAGACCTATTTGACCTGAGAACCTTGTGAGAGCAATACCTAAACTCTATTATTTTAAACAATGCCCTGAATGCATCTCTTCTTGCTGACTGATTAATTTTGCTTGCATTTTCCTGACTCTTGTGTCAAATTGCAATCTATTCCTAGGCAATGGCCTTATTTAGCCGTCTTTATCTAATAAGAAAAGCATGTTCTCTGAGCCTAACTTCCTTATAATTTACCCATAGATGCTGATTCCCACATCACCATCAATGCTGATGGAACTGCCAAAGGGGTACACAGAGCAGTCTCATCCCCAAGCTGGTGGCATTTGCTCTTTATTATATAGCATATAATAGGTTGTGATACTTTTGTAAGAAAGATTCGATATAAAAATAAATAGTTTGGTATATGCATAATTTAATTTGATTTGACTAGCTTTTGGAGAGTTTCCTCAGACACTTCATTGTACTGCTCTATTTACTGATGTTTGCAGTGCTAGGAGCCTGGATTTCTTGTTTATTAGAGCTGGCATAATGAAAGTTTGCCACCTGATTAATTTTAATAGTTTAGCAAGGAACCTGAGGATAATGCATATTGGCTGCCAAGCTACAGATAAATTTTGTCCATTTGGTTGCAGAGGTTTTGGCAGAAATAAAACCTGCTCTTTGCTATTGTAGAGAAACATTTTGTTGGGTGAAATAGTGATTTCTAAGAAAGCCACTATCTCATTTGCCTTTACTGTGCTCTGACACCTAACAAACCCAAACAAACAGGTTTGAGATGATACGAAGGCCCAATTCTGATACCCCTCACACTGACTGTTGATGTAAAAGACTTGAAAAGAATCTGTGAATCTAGTGTTTAGGGTCTACTTGTCTGGCAGAGTTTGAAAAGAGCCCAGGACAAGAAGTCAAGAAAACTGAGTTACTCCCAGCTCTTTTAATAGCCACTTTACTGTTCTGTGCCTCAGTTTCCCCAGCTGAAGTGCACAGTGCACTTGTAGCAGCATGTTCCAGGAGAATTCAAAAAGGCTCCACAGGTCACTTGGAGAGACTCTCTGCAGGTGAGAGCTACCTAACTGGTGCTGGGCTGTAATGCTGAACACCCAAATACTCCTCCAGTCTGCGGGGAACATTGTATTGAGCCTTCAGACCTTTTGGGAGTTGCTGACACTGAGGTGACAGGCTTTGTGTGTGCTTCTTCCAACATGGAAAGAAAGAAAGAAAACTCCTTCTGTGTTGTCCTAAGGTCTTCTCCTTCAAAGACATCAGAGTGGGACTTAATTTTCTTTACACATAAATTTTGTATCTAGATAGTGTTGCGGGTCCTAGGAGGGATGTTTGACTTCTGTGGTTAGGAATGGGGTTGGAAGAAGTCGGTGCCTGATGGATTTGTAGGATGGATGGGTGCTGACAGCTCAGGCTCTGGCAAGAGAAACAATTAAAAAAAAAAAAAAGTTGTTCTCGGTTCTTTTCAAGCCACTTAATTTGGAATACAAATGATTTACACTGAAATGATTAATCAATGCATTCATTATACTTGCATGGCCACTGTTTAGCAGCAAAGCAAGTAAACAACAGTCTGCAGTAAGGCAGAAAAGATGAACAATCTCAGGCCTCAAATCTACAAATTAGTATATTAAGTGAACATCAAAATCCCTGAACAGAGACAACTTTAAGTCAACCCACACAAAGAAGCAGGCAGGATGAAGGAAATAGTGTATCTGTTCTAATATTCCTTAGTGCACATCTTCCCTTCCTAACCAAAGATCATCTATTGCAATCAAAGTGAATTACAGAATTTGTCGCTGACATAATGAAAAAGAATATTTAAGAAGCACATCTATTTAGTGTAAGTCATATGAGTTTGTGGGGTGATGTGTTGCTTGTTTGTATTAAATTCAAAGTCGTTTTTTTTTTCCTTAAACATCACCTAGAACTTTCAAGAAACTTCAGAAAATTGTCCCACCAAAAGCATTGAAAATACTTTGCAGTGTAATTTTTTCCCATTTCTTAAATGAATCATCTCAAGCTACACTTATCTGAAACAAAATAGAAAATAAAATGAAAGGATACACTTCACAACTATGTCTGCCTCCATTTATATTGATGCATAAGAAACACAAAGTACAGTTAGAGACCGCACGATACCTGCACATGTGAATATACAAATCTTATCAGCTGAGCAGGAAAAGCAAACACTCATTTCTCACTGTATCAACTTAGTACACTCATTCCCTGGATAAGTGTGTGAAAAAAACAGGTTCATTAAGAAAATGTCAAGGGAACTGGTTGGACACAGGGGACAGGTAAAGCAGAACAACACAGCAAACCTCAACTCTAATAAAAGATAAGCAATAATTCATCAAAAGGTTACTCGAAGAAAAAGCATTAAAATAAGCGTATGTCTTAAAAACAAAGCAAAATAAGCATTTTCTCAAATTACTGTTGCCAACCGCATTGAATAAAATGTATCAACAGTTCCCCAAATAACAAAATCACCATATCATCAACTTCAGAAATCCTTTAAATTTCTTTTTAATTGCTCAGTTTTGCCTTCAGGTCCCCAGCTTTTAGCTTACAGTTGGGGTTGGACAACGTTTTATAGATTGATCTTTAACAGAGAAAGCAATCAGAAGGGAAAAGAAAAAAATATAGAATAAATAAATAAATAAATAGAACCATTATTGAAAGAACAAAGCCTGAAAGCAGATATCCTCTTTTGTCCCGTAGCAGCAATAGCACATCCCTCAGTAAAAGTCTCAAAATCACCAATGTCTGAGACACTGATAATTATACAGCAAAGCCACAACAAAAACCATTTTAAACAATTAATTAAGCCCATATCCCCCCACACTAAATAGATTGTGCTCTTAGTCCTTAACCAGCTTCATGGTAATAAGCCCTTACGTACACAAAGCCTCATCAGGCTCGGTAAGAGCCTTTTGGCTCATCAAACCTCACAGAGAGGCAAATTTCAGAACTCCAGCCAGTCTTCAGTATTTAGCGTATAATCCCACCTACATTAGTGCACCTGCCTTCTCTCTGCTCCAAATGTCAGTTAAATAAACCAGCGGTGTAACAACATATAGAAATAACGACTCCAGAGTTTACAACAGAAAAATAAAAACAAGGAACACTGCCCTTACGTTATTACAGTCCCCAAAAGATCTATATCCAGACAAAAACTGTAAGGGGAATTTTCAGTACACATAATGAACTGAAACATGGCTTCTTTGGGGTTTATTTATTTTTAAAGGACCAACGATTTTTGAGCATACAAAACTAGTTGGGATGCTTTGGAGGGTTTTCACAAAAAAAAACAGCTATAGCCTGGCCATGCTACTGCCCCCACATGCTCTCTGCAGGCAGTGGAAAGCAGCTTCCCCCAGGGGTAACAGAGTGGGAATCTCTGGTCCCCGAATCCTGGAAGCCCGTGCTCTGCAGCACTCGAGCCAAAACGGCTGCTGTTTTCTGCTTGTAATTCCAGCACACCTACCTACACTGGGCTTTGTTGAAATACTCAGCTTTCTTGGAAACGATCCCTCGTTCTTTACAATTACAGGTGTATCCGTTGCTGGATGGTTTTGCCCAGTGAGCAGAACCCGGATCCCTGGAGCTTGGGACATGACAAACAGCACGAAGCACATGTCATTACCTCGTCTTCCCCAGCAGCACGACTGCTTCCTGACTTAGAAGAAAAATAAATATTTGCCTCTTGCATTTGTCCCAGTAGGACTGGAAATGTGAAATATTTGCTGTAAGATTTGAGATGGTGGCACAATTTGCTCTCTGTCAAAAGAGAAAGGACGATTCATGAATAATCTATAGCTGCTACTGACTGAACTCTTAATTACAACTACTCAAAACAAAATCTCTTACACAGTTAAGTCCCTTACATAATTAAAGGGAGGGGAGGAGCGCAGAGGTAGATACACTAGAAACATGTCAAATCACTGCTCAAAAATATCCCTGTTCACCCCACAAATTATCCAATTAAGCATTTGTCAGGCTGACGAATGCTATGGATCACTTCCACATCAGCTGAATCCTAGCATAAAGAAACTGTGTCCTGTAGACGTGTACTTTTAACAGGCTAGTAGAGACATTTATCCTCACCAGACTTCTTTCTGTTCACAAATCTACAACCTAAGGCTACAAATATAGCAACAAAACAAAACATATTTGCTCTTATGATTTTTCTTTTCTTTTTTTTTTTTTTTTTTTTAATTTAAATGTGATATTATCAAA